TCTGCTGGGAGGTGAGTGCTTCTCTCCTGTGTCCCTCTCCACCTCGTTCAGAAGCTGGTAAGCTCCCTCAGTTCAGAGGATGTCCAGGAGCTGTGTGGACACCTTGTTTAAGGGTCTGTCTTGTTCCTATTCCCCTTTCTCAGGTGGGTTTTCTTGCCTTCCTGTGCTCACCACCACTCTCCTCAGAAGCAGCAATCCCTTAATTATTGCTCTGCAGTTTGCAGGTCTGCCTCCACGTCATCCAACCTTTATGCCAGCACATGACCCACCACACCTGATCTCCCACCACCACCTCCACACCCACGAGTTTCATTACAAACAAAGCCAAGGTGCTGCTGCAGCTGGGGGTGGCTGGGGTGTGGTGATTCCTGCCTGGCTGCTGGAGTGAACTGCTGCCTGGATAAGTCACAGGCTGACACTGCCAAGCCCCATGCGGCGTTTTGAACTTTATCAAGGCTTCTCAGGCTGCTGAGCTGGCAGCAGGCGGGAGTGTTCCAGCAGCTGGGCTTCTGCTGTCACTGAGTGTCTGTCTCCAGCGAATGTAGGCCAAGAAAAGCAGATGGGTTCTCCCACCACTCTCCCACCACCTCTTGAGGGACAGATAAGCGTTGTCTGGACAGTTTACTGGCTCTTTCCTACTCTGAGCAGTGTCAGGATGTGCAGAGACTGAGAGCCTCACCAGGAAAGTGCTCCAGCAGAGGTGGAGCCTGATCTTCCCCACAGGTGGCTGCTGGTGCCTGCTGATTGCTGGATTTCCGTGTGTGTGCCTGGCCAGGTTTCTTGTATCAAGAACCAACAGTTCACAGCGAAACTTCAGAAAGAAGCTAACAAAAAACCCAAGCATTTCCCTAGTCCCTTCCTTATGGAAGGAGCTAAGAGACAGGGTGGGATTTTTGGGATGTCCTGTGCAGGACCAGGAGCTGGACTCAGTGACCCTGATGGATACCATCCAGCTCAGCTTATTCCATGCTTCTGGGATACTTCAGGCTCCCTGAGCACCAGCAGGTCTCTGAGGATTCGGGCAGCACAAACTATAGGAAGGGTGCTCCAAACATGGCTGTTTCTCAAGGTTTCTGTCACTCATTGTCCATCTGCCAGAGAGGGTTAAATGCAGTGAGCAGCATCTGTCGTGCCCAGCCTTTCTGCTGTACCTTCACTCTTTGCCATGTTGTGGTTTCTGCACCAAACCCAAGAGAATTCAGTCCCCTGGCAGGGGGGACAGTGATATGGCACTTAGGCCTTTTTTTCCAATCATCAGCTTCTGATTTAAGCAATTCTGGAAAGCTGCTGAGTAGGTGATGTACCAAGTAACAAAAACTCTTAATCTTGACTGTTTTGTGTATTTTATAACAAATTTCCTGCAGTGGCACCTGCTGGCAAGGTTAACACCTGCAGCGTTTGCAGGGATGTGATGCAGGGTGGGACTGCTGGGTGTTAACACGGGCACTAAGGAGTGTTCTGCTGACCTACTTAAAATGCCATATCAAGGGCCTTTAAATCTCTGAGTGAGCAGGCCTGACCTTAACAGCTGACCTTGTTTTGAGATGAAGGTTAGATGAGGCTTGGGGTTGTTCCAGCTGGAACTTCCCTGCAGTCCATTTTATGAGTTTGATTCTTTGCTTTAAGTATCATGGACTAAACCCACTGATTCTTATTTACTTTAAGAATTTGCTTTCCTTGAATCAATGTCAGTCCTAGAACATCTCAGCCCAACTGAAGCCACTTTTCTTTGATGTCTGCCACAAATGAGAAATGGCAGATGTGTTTCCCTAGTCAGGCTGGTTAATTTCAATGCTCTTCACTGGGATACTGTCCAAGGAAGGAATGTGTCCCAGGAGAGGAGCAATGTAATCAAGAGGAGGGACTGAAGGGTCCTGAGCACATCTCCAGCTGTGTAAGCGTTTTCCTGGCACTCATCCAGATGTGTGCTCTCTCTGAGGTCGCCTTAAGTCGCTGATGTGCATGTGTGGAAGAGAGAACGGATGTCATGCAAATCACGCTCGAATTAAGATTGCTGTGAAAACCCTTCAAACACCGTGCAAGCCTGGGGAACTGTCCTTCACCACCAGGGACAGACCTTGTTCTAAGTGCTGAAAGAAGTCACTTTGGAAACAAAGATTCAGTGATTTGAACTAAACAAGAAAAACTCTGCTTTATTCACCCCCAAGCCTCCCCACCAGGAAAGATACGGAGTCATCTGAATCTCACACGTCATGTGAAAGAACACAGCGTTTGCTTTTAAAGCAGAAGGGACTCTCTGTTCTCCAGGTGATGTAAAAGGCTGCATTTGATGCATTCAGTTCAGTTAACACACCTCTTTATATGCAAAATCACTGCCAAATGAGAAAGAGTTGTAATAGAAACTTAAAAATCCTCATAGCTCATTTTGTTGTATAATTCAAAGCAGCAGTCTGGTACGGCTGTCTTTGAAGGCCCAAATTATATGTTTGGTTTCAAGCTGCATATTTTATCTAAAATGGCACTAAATGTATTTTAAATAATAATTAATTATTATAGTAGTAAATAAGTAATTACAAAAAAAGGGGGGGGGGGGAAAAAGCAATCATCTGAAATACATGTTTTTTCCCCTGGGAAAATTTTGACTTGGCATAGTAGTCCTGCACAGATGCTCTTTGGGTTCAGTGTTTCAGATCTCTGTAGAAGATATCTACCTTTGTTTTATAATTATAGGGTGAAACACTAAATTATCTAGATGGGCCTACTGCTGTAGTGCATAACAGTACCGCTTACCTTTTTCTGCAGAGTTTCAGGTGCCATTTGTATGTGTAAGTTATCCTCTAGGGCAGGAAACACAGGAGAAATGACACAGCAGAACACTGCTGGACTTTTATGAAGCCTGTTGTGCACTGCAAACCAAACTGCTTTCAGTGTTACATTTCAGAGCTGCAACAGCATAAACCCAGCACAGCTCAGACTATTTTAATAGAGAGAAATTGTTGTCTGAGCAGTGTCTGAGGTTTTCATTAAGGCAACTCAACAGGACCGACGTTCTGATACAGTATATTACACTCTGGGAACACTACAAAGGATCTGCTCGGGAACGGAAGAACAAAAGGCACAAAGCAGCTTAAGGCTGACCTAAATAATCCAATATATTCCTTTTTAAAAACTCTTGCCCTGCCATCTGGGGGGCCGATTCCCGACAGATTACTTGAAACTTCCTTTTGTTCGGGAAGCCCCTGGCTGCAGGGCGAGAGCAGCGCTCAGGAAACCATCGGGGGGACGCGGGGACCGCCGCTGCCAGCGCTCTCATCGGCCACAGAACAAAAAAAAGTCCAATAAAAACCCGAACAAAACCCCTGGCCGCTCGCCACACCCCTCTCAGGTGCCACCGGGGGGTGTCCGGGGGCCAGCAGGGGCCGGATGAAGTTGCAAGCGGCGCTGCAGAGGCTCGGCCCCGGGGAGCTCATTTCCTGCAGAGCGGGGCTGAGCCGCGCTCCGGGTCTGGCCCCTCCTGCAAACTCCAGCCGTGAACTCGCTCTGAACCTCACCCGCACTTTCCATACCCAGCGTCTCTTCTGGTTTTCGGTAGCAAAGCTCTCCTGGATAATCCGAGGGCTGGGGAAGAGGCTCTGAATTCCCGCAGCCCAGGGGGAGGAATGGATGGGGAGTCCTGGAGGTACGGCTGCTGCCAGTACCTCGGGTTAGCTGTGCTTTGGGAAGGTCCTGCCCTGGTTGTTGGAATTACAGGAATTTAAATACGTGATGTTTTAGAGTGTGCTGTTTATTTTGGGGAACGGGAGGAAAGCAAGCAGTAAATGACCGTACTATGGGTGTACCTGCACCCAGAAAATCACAGGAACTAGCCTCTGTTCCTTTTTTCTGAGGCAGGTTCTTCTAGAACTGATGCTGCCCTGCTGCATATTTACCTAGAAGTATCCCACTGTGAGCGGGATACAATAAAACCTGGCAGGCTTTGGGGCATAGCATAAAATGCTGTATCTCACCCCAAAATCAAAATATGCACAAGTTGCTATCAAGTGCAGCTGATGAGGCCACAGGTGTAATGTTAAAGGGATGTTACTGTTTTTTCATGTGTAGCTTCCAGTATGTTAAAACTTTTAATTTTCTGAACACTGTCAACGCTTTAAAAATCTCTTCTATGTATTTCAATAATCGAAAGTTAAATAATCATTCTGTCCCCTGAGTCTAAGGTTTGATCAGAATGATTCCTGCATTTTTGCCTAGCAACACAAAAACCTTCTAGAGATAAATTTACCCCTGAATATATAAATCCACATTTTAAAATATTTCTAGTGCAGCTGAGGTCTGAAGCGATCTAGCTCAATTCCATACGTGAAAGAGTGGGGTGTGTATGGGTCTGTTGGTAGTCTGGATTAGAGCTAGTCCTGAATGTATAGATTATAGCTGAGATTGCATTTGAATTAAAATAAATACCAGCTTGATTCCCTCCTATCTGAGTTATCTTTCTACTCCTCAAAGCACATTTCAATAACCCTCTTGTTATCTTCCTCCGAGTTCCCGTATGCTATTATTGTTCCCGTCTATACGTTCCCTTGATTATGGCACTGCCCTCTGAGCCTGTCATCGCTGTGGCTGCTTCATAATGCCTGCAATTATTGCTCTGTGGGCTGCCAGACCCACTAATGATGCTGTGTTGGCTGTTGGTGCTGCGAGAGGCGAGGGCTGCGTGCTCACCCTGCAGAACGCGTTGGGAGCGGGAGCGCGGCTGGGAAGAGCAATGTAGGTCACAGCGGTGTCGGGATCGCTTTGTGGGGGCAGTGACGGTGCCGAGGGGGGTTTGCACTGGGTTCACAACAACTGTTTCCCTTGGAGTCTCCTGGGCTTTCAAAAGGAGCAGATTCTTGTGTGTTTATGCTGTACCTTTTGATTTGTGCGGCACCTGCAGCTTCTGTTGAGATCCCTCGGGGTCCTCAAGGCTGGTGTTTTCATGGACTCTCTTCAGATAAAAATTCATTTGCTTGTTCAAAGCATGCTGTTCTGAGCTGGATGCCGTTTCCTGATGAAAGAGTGTGCCCAATTAGTTTCTCCAATTTTCCAGCCAAAGCAGCCTTCCCTGCTTTTGGCACCACGTGGAAGCTGAGGGTGGATCCAGTAAGCACAAGACCAATCCTTTCTGTGTTGTTCAGCATCTTCACGTGTGCATTAGCCTATGTGCAAACAGTTGACCTCACAACTGTGAAATCACAGACAAAAACTGGTTCCTTTTATCACCACAGGCTGAAATTACTCTTGTAGAGTTGTAGACAAATATTTCTGTGTTTTGGGTCATCAAAACCATGTTGCAGAAGTACCATATAGTAAATAACACACTGGTGTTGTGGCACAACAAATGCAGGCTTTGCTCTTGGAGGCCTTTAAGCAGCATCAAGTACAGATTGGGAAGGAACAGACCATGGAAGAAGCATCAGAGCAAGATTTTATACTGTAAGTTATTTCCCACAAACAAGGGTGGGAAGGGAGAAGGAGCAGGGATGAGAAGTATCTTAGCCTTGGTATTTTTTTTTTTTTGAACAGCCTGTTAAAGACCAGCACCTTGTAAATCAGACTCGGTTTTACTTGGCTAAGTGAAGCATAAGCCCAAGAACAACATCTAAAGTAGGCCAGGACGAGGTCACAGCTGTGTGCTGGGGAAGACAGCACGATCCCTGGCTCCCAAATACATCACACACACACATTCTCTCACAGGCTCCCGGCTTTGGAATCGAGCCCAGGGGTGCATCGGGAGAACACTGCAGGGAGTGAAACCTGGGCCATGCCTTGGTGGCAGCCAGGTCAAACTGCTTTGCAAGCAAGCGTTGCCTTTCTCAGCCGATGAGCCCTCGGTGATCTGCCAGTGACTAAAGAAAACATAGAGGAAAATGAAGAAATTCAAGCCTTTTGTTCAGTCCTCCCTCTACCAAGCAGTGGCATCCACTTCCACTGAAAATAGGAAAAAAAAGTTGAATACCGTGAGATACCTTGTGTCCAGCGAGTACTTTCTCCCCTTCCCAGGGGAAGGCAGGGCTGGACGCCTTACAGCAGTTTTCCTCACAGGTAATTAGCATGCTAATTGCGATGTGTTTAACACACACCTAGTGTGAGAGGTCACAGCCTGCACTGATTGCTTTCCCCCGGTCTAATTGCAGCCTGTCAAGCCAGAAACCACATGTTCATGGTTCGTGCTCCCTGCAAGGCAGGGTCTGGTAAATAGTCTCTTGTGCTCTGAGAGTGTTAGCCCCTCTGGTTTTGTGTGTGAGGACGCTGTGGACGAGGGCTTTGCTGAGAAAAGTGTAATTTACCTTGAACTCTCTCAGTACTGTGTGGTCCTCCATCAGGAAGGGCTGCTAATGATGCAAACCCTGCCCACAGCCCTGATCTTTAGTCTGGCTTCGTGCACACACATGTGAACTGCTGATTCCTAAGGATTTTTAACGAGGGGAGTGGATCCAAGAATGAAGCACAGCCTTGGCCAACCTGCTGCTTGGTGAGACCCAGAGGCTATTGCAGACTGCTGGTATTGGACACAAAAGCAACCAGAGAACATCTCTGATCCCCACAAGAGCATTTGAAAAGAAAAAACTGTGAGGCCATTTCAACACTGGGAGGTATCTTTCAGTTAATAATATATTAATAGCACTGGCACAGAGTGAATTTCTCAACTCATCCCATTGCTGTATCATCAGCTTGTTAGATGTACACAAGAAATAAATCCTATTGTTTAGGTAAAATGTGGAAAAATTGGTTTACCTCTGTCTGCCTCAAGTTGTACTTGAGGTGGCTTTCAGATGGCTTCCTCAAAGAAAAGATAAGATAAAATAAATACATATGTTGAGAGAGCAGTAGATGCAGGTTCAGAAGTCACGTCCTGAAGTTACCCAATTCTGGTTCTGCAGTCACTGAATTGTGTGATTTTATCCAGTGATAAATATTCCCTGCAAGCTTTAGTAATGAGAGGTCTTTGAAGGGAGAGTTGCAACAGACACCGAAGCTGTTACAGATGGAATTTGCTGCTACAATGTCAATAGATAAAATGGAAAGGAAACTTTGTTTCCTGGAAAATATAATTTATCAAGCTAGTGAAACAAAGCCTTTTTTTTTTTTTTTTTTAAGGTCCCAACAATTCCTGGGGCTGTCCAGATATCGGGAAAAATAAACTGTGGTGTAAGAGTTGCTCTCTTTCTTCTTGTCTCTGTGAAAGCTTCTCCAAGAGGCCTCAGATAGCCCAGGAGAGGAAGCAGCAGGAAGATGGATCCTCCCCTAAACCCAGCGAGTGGCAGTTCAGAGCCAAGACCCTCCAACAACCTGGTCCAGCAGGGGACAGCTGAGAGGTGCAACTTTGAAGAAAGGAGAGGGAAGAAACCAGAATAATTTGTGTATGCCTTTTCCTTCCAAGCAGTGAACATTGTGTGGGCTGTTCATGCCTAAAAGAAGCTGCCAGCCTGCAGCAGCCAATGTCACTAAGTCACCGAGGCAGGCAGGCCCTCAGTGTAGGCACATAAAGTAGACAGGTGAGGGGGCTGTTGGGATCTGCTCACTGACAATCACACACAAACTACAGCAGTTGAAATATGTATTCCAAAGGAACAAGGAATTATCCTAGTGAGGCATGGGGTAGCCCACAGTCTTAATGTCCTGTTGGATATGGATAATGTTCCCGTGTTTCTTACCAGCATAGTACTCCAATATAGGTGGAGGTCTTATTCTCATTGCCAAAACCAGATTCTTCCTAACTGATCTTTGTTAATTTTACCCCTGCTATTTTAAAATGATTTTGTTCTGTATCCTGTATACCAGAGAGCTAATACAGCCTAGATTAGACTGCATGGACTAGACTGCAAGGGTAGCACAGCTGTGAATAAAGTAGCTGTGTGTCTCGGTTTGGAAGACACACAGTGTCTAGTGCTTGCTAGGGAGGGCAGGAGCCTCCCTTGGAGTGAAAAGCGTAAACCCCCTTCCTCCGAATTATTGTAATTTTGAAATCAAGGGGCTCTCAGGCAGGGATCTGGGGATAAGAATAACAGTTCTTCACTAGTATGTGTAACAAGGCAAACAAACAACAATAACTACAGCATTAGCAACAAAACAGAACCAGGGACCCCGTGACAGCCTTCTCGGCCGAGACGAGAAAGGATGGAGGAGAGGCTTTGCTTCACAAACCCCTCGGGCAGTCAGTCCCGGCGCTCCTACAGGACACTGCGGAGCTCTGCTGAACAACCGGCTGGAACGGCAGGAATGAGTAGAAATCCCGGGCGAGTGGACGAGCGAGATGCAGCAGCAGCTCCGCCCCGCAGGACAGGGGGCGCGGGGGGCCCGCAGATGAAAAAGAAGAAGTAAAAGAAGCAGCTCCATCTGGGTGATGGCAAATTCCCTTCTCCAAGCCTCAACATCTCCGAGAGTATCTTGCTTTGAAGCCTAAGAAATCAGCCAACACCCAGCTGCCCCCGCCCTCCCCATCCCCTGCTCCCCTTTCCCCCCGGGCCCAGCCCAAACTCCCAGTGTTACTCAGGCACCCAACAAGATCCAGCAGTCAGGCTTCCCCGCAACTAATGGGCAAAAAAATTCCAAAGGTGAGAAGGAACAAAAGGAAAGACACCCAACCCCCAACGCTGCGTTTTGTGCAAAAGATGTCTAATTCATTATAGAGTTTCTCCACTCTGCCTTGTCCAATTTTTCCTCCCATCTGTACGGTCCTGCAGGACCCATCCCCTGAGACCACAAGGTGAAGCCCAGAGGCAGCTCGCCATGATCCTGCTGTCTGTGGTTTCTTTGAGAATACCTCTAAAAGCTATTTCTACTGAGAGGTAACAGCTTGTATTAAAAAAAAAAAAAAAAAAAAAAAAAAAAAAA